TCGCTGAGGCCTGGTGGGCTGGCCAGCCCAGAGTTACAACCAAAACTGGTTGGATCACTTTCGCCGCCGGCCCCACCACTGAGGCCCAGTCACGACTGCAGGTGATGTCGTGCAAGCTCGGGATCCGCAGCCTGGACGCTCTGCCCGGGGACGCCGTCCCAGCTCCGGCACGCAGAGGGCCCGCGGCTCGGCGGCCCGCCGCGGCCTGCCCTGAAGGCGCTCCGCCCTCGAAGCGGCGGCCCGCGCCTCCCCCCCCATTCCGCCTCCTGGCCCGGCTCAGGCGGGTGAGCAGACTGGGACCGACGACGGCTTCGACTGCGACGTCGACGCCGACAACGACCCGCCCCCGGCTGGTCGTGTGGTGGTGGTCGGTGCGCCCTGCACGCTTCAGAGACGGACGCCGGAGTTGTCTCCCGAGCCCCTGTCGCCCGGCCGCCGCTCGCGGCGGAGGGTGGAATCGCTGCCGGAGAGGCCCCGCCGACGGCCTCGCCCTACCTCCTCCCCTCCCTTTCCTCGCCAGACTCGGAATCGGGCTGGATAGGTTGAGTTGGTTTGACTTTTTACTTGTCTTTGGGGCTTCCCATTTTTTTTGACTCCGGCTAGCTGCGTGGCCGGATTCTTTCACACCTTTAACTCCTCTCTCGCGCTTCGCGCGAGGGCGGCTAGGCGTCGTACAGCCTGCTCGCCTTCAACACCTACCGGGAGCGGCCAAGAAGGGGTGTCCAAGAGGGGGGGGTGCAAATCATGACCGGCGGCATGATGTGCGAGGCCCAGCGGGGGGGCCAGGGAGGTAATGAAACAAGAAGAGGCGCCACGAAATCTCGGGAAATATCATGGCCCCCGCCGTGATATCCCCCCCCCCCCGGTCCTCACCCCCCTCGTCGCCGCCCCCCCGAACCAACCGGAGGAGGAGGAGGCCGGAGGCCTGAAAGAGGCCCCGCCGTGGACGGGAAGACAGCGCCAGGGAGGGCCGCCGTGCGCCTCTCGACTGGCCCTCCTCCGCTTCGGGCCGCTGCGCAGCTCGACCCTCGAGCGGCGGGGCACTCCTCGCCAGCGCCCTCGCCGGGCGAGGGCGCTGGCGAGTCGCTTTGAAAAGCTCTTCGAGCTGCCTTTCGCATTGGATCCCCCATTATCCCCCCTTCCGCTCCTTGATGCTGCGCCGGGGGTCGGATCTGCCCCTCGAGGGGGGGCCTTCCGCCCTCGGGCCACCTTCTGATGGCCTTCGCAGAATTCAGTGAAGGAGGTGAGCTTTAACACCTCGCCCCCGCGCGGCCCCCTGCCCTCCTGGCGCGCTCTCGCCGGCACAGGGCGGGCCAGCGGCTGGCGCTGCAGACAAAATGTGCAGCAGGGGCTCGACCACGAGGAACCTTCCACGGGAAACCCCACCCTGAGACCCCAGGACGCCCCTCGATTTCTGCTGTTGGAACGTCACGCCTTCCGCAGCAAAACCATTGAAACCCAACCAGGACGTCCCTTGATTTCTGGTGTGGGAACGCCACGCCTTCCACAGCAAAACCATTGAAACCCAAGAAACCCAGGGCACCCAGGCAAGCATGGTACCTCTTGGCATAAGCCCCCACTGCACAGGAACAGAATCGGATCGGGACTACGGCTAGCGTTGCAAACAAATATGTCGTTCAGCATCGATCTCCGGAAAGCAAGCTATCCCCTTGAGGCGATCCCCCCGCGAGGGCCCCTGCTGCGCACGCTATCCCCCCGGCGAGGGCCTCGTCGGTGCACGCTATCCCTTCCCAGGGCCTCCTCGGTGCACCCCCCAAAGTGGGGGAATAGTGTTCAGAAGCGGGCCAGCGGCGCCACATCGCCTGTGTTCTTTGCAGCGCCAACCGTAATTGCGGATCTCTGAAACCCAGCGGGTCAAGAGGATGTATCGGGCGCCGCGGCCGTTTCAGGGCATTCCGTGGACGGCGGAGGGAGAGGAACGTGGAGGGGAAGGGAAAGAGGGAGATGGACGGGGAGAAGGGGGGTGGGCCAGAAAGGGGGAGCAGGAATAGGAGGAGACGGGGGAAGAGGGGGAAGGTGGGGGAGGGCATCCTCCTTCTCCTGCGCGCCCCCCCTCGCCTCCTCCTCCTCCTCCTCCTCCTCCTCCTCCACCTCCTCCTCCTCCTACTGCTCCCCTCCTCCTACTGCCCCGCCTCCTTTTCCTGTTCCTCTCCTCCCCTCCTTCTCCTCCTTCTCCCCCTCAATTCCATGTCCTCCTCTCCTCCTCCTCCTCCTCCGCCTCCTCCTCCTCCTCCTCCTCCTCCTCCTCCAACTCCTCCTCCTCCTCCTTCTCCTCCTCCTCCTCCTCCTCCTCCTCTTCCTCCTCATCCTCCTACTCCTCCTCCTCCTTCTCCTCCTCCTGCTCCTGATGTTGTGTTTCCTCCTCCTCCTCCTCCGCCTCCTGGTAATGTTGCTCTTCCTCCTCCTCCCGTCTCCTCCTGCTCAGGGCGGGGTCCTGGGCGGCGCAGCCCCAGAGCAGCTCCCACAGGCGCGGGGCGGCCTGCGCGCGGCGGCGGCGGGCTATCGTCCCATCCTCCCTCTCGTCGTCCCACTTCCGCTGATCCTGCTCCTCCGCCCGGCACTCCTCCCACCCCTCGCCCCCGAGTCCCCTCATCCCTCGCCCCCTCGTCCTCCTCCACGCCGCTCCCCCCGGCTCATCCCGGAGCCGCCCCTCCCTCCCCCTCCCAATCGCCTCCCTCCCCCTCCCCCTCCCCCCTCCTCCTGCTCCTGCTCCTCCTCCTCCTCCTCCTCCTCCTCCTCCTCCCTCCTCCTCCTCCCGCCTCCTCCGCCTCCGCCTCCGCCTCCTCCTCCTCCTCCTCCTCCTCCTCCTCCTCCTCCTCCTCCTCCTCCTCCTCCTCCTCCTCCTCCTCCCTCAAGCAATCTGGGCACGAGCGGGAGGGTTAGGGTACCTGGGGATTTTCGCACCCTACCACAGCCCGCCCGTGCTCGCCTCTGCGCTTCCGCGCACCGCTTGAGGGGCGCCGCACCGCCTGCCGCAGGAGGCAGGCAGCTGCGGCGGCTAAGCAGAGGCATGGCAGGAACAGATCGATTATGGTCCAAGTGCAATGGTTGTGGCACGACAGAATGGAATACCAAGCTACTGCAGCGAGATCGACGGTGTCTTCGATGCAGTCGTCAAGTTCGCCTTCACCGTCCTAGGTCGCAATCTCGTGACCGCTCTGTGTCGTTCGAAGACAACAAGCTTGCCGACACGGACGAGGCGAAACCCAAGTCAATCCTGAAGCCGTCAGTCCCTGACTTGCTGAGGACGGCCATTGCTGCTGCGACGGACCCAGTGCTGAAGGCGACCCTGGAGGCGGAGCTGGCCAGGCTGCAGCCCCAACAGGCTACGGCCCTCACGGCGTCGTCCGTCGAGCATGCCCGCAGGGCGGACGCCGCCCTCAGGGACGCCGAGACCAAGCACGACCAGGCAGTCAAGTCGGTGGTACGGTTGCGCGGGGCCTTGGCCGCCGCAGAAGCCAAGGAGGCCACCGCGGCGCAGGCTCTCGTGGTCGCCACGGCTGCGAGGAAGGAGGCCGTCATGCACCTGGCGGCGGCAGAGGGCGTAGGTGCCGAAGCTGCGGGAGGAGCTATCGGACCGAAGCTCAATCTGTCTTGGGACGAGAAGCTCTTCGAGGACCTTGAGGGCTTCGAAGAGGGCGAAAAGCAGGCCATGATGAAGCTCAAGAAGGAGCTCGAGGGTGCGCGCGAGCTGTTGGGCAACCGCGAGGCCGAGATCAAGAAGTGGCTCGAGAAGGCCGCGGAGGTCAAGGCCACGGTCAACGAGAGGCTCCGCAAGAGGAGGCGCGCGGAGCCAACCGCTGAGGAGGAGACGGCGCAGGTTCCTGCGGGCGGAGAGGACGGCAGTGGAGCCGGCCCCGCCCAAGCCGCAGACGCCTCCCCAGCGGCGGCTGAGGCCCCAGAGGCCAAGCGTGCCCGTGAGGAGAGGGAGGCGGCCATCCGTGCTGAGGCGGCCAAGATCTCCCAGGCCAAGATTGCAGCAGAAACGGCCAAGGCCGCTTCGCGCAAGGGTAAGAGCAACGGCAAGGGCGTCGGCGAGGGGCCAGCAGAGGGACCTTCGGCGGGCGCGCAGGCCAGCAAGTGACTCAAGGCCGAGGCGTCCGAGGATAGTGGTGAGTTGTTCTCGGCGTCAGTGGCTTCAGGAAGCTTGCCAGATTACGCGTCATCGGCCACGACTCCGATGCCTGCTAAGTTGTGGCGTTCTCCCAGTGCTGAGTCTTCGGCCAGCGCCCGTGCCCCCTCCTGCAGGTCGCGCCAGTCAAGCAGCTCAAGGGCGAGCTCGACGACTGGAACAAGTACCTCTCCATCTCCATCTTTGCCGCATGTCACCAGGGACGAGGGGGTGTCGACCTTGGTGTTTGGCAACATCACATGCATGGGCGACCGCATTTGGACGTTCATGGATGATCAGCGCAAGCAAGTACAAATGTTCGCCTTCGTTGAGACACACGTGGGCAATGCAGACTTACGCAAGCATGATGCAGCTGCGAGGAAGCGAGGCTTGAGATTGTTCGCCACGCCAGCTCGACCTGCAGCGTCGAGGACATCGGCCTCGTCCTTGAGTGGACATGCGAATGAAGGTGGGGAGTGGATGCTCGCTCGGGGGCACCTTCAAGTCCACTCGCTGGCACTGGCCGAGACGACGGCGCTCCAGCATGAACGTGAGACTGTAGCGGGCGGTTCCAAGGCAACGGTTGTCCACATGAAGGGCTACGCTTTCGCGCTGATCGCCTTCTACGGGCATAGCAGCATCGGGCTCCGCGGAGCCAACATCTCTTGCTTCCGCAAGTTGGGAGGACTGCTGTTGTCGTTGCAGGTTCCATGGGCGGTGATTGCTGATTTCAATGTCAGCGCGGCCGCGCTCGCGAAGTCCGATTTCGTGAGCAGGGTTGGCGGCCGCGCACTCACCGCTGAGGTTCAATGCACATGCAACGCGGGCCCTAGTGGCTCACATATTGATTACATTGTATGTTCCACATCCGCGCTCTCCTTCGTCAAGTCTGTTCAACCACTGGAGGCGGTTCCATGGCAAACCCACATGGGTCTGAAGGTGCAGTTTCGGCAGACGGGCGACCAGCTACTAACACGAGTGTTGTCCATAGCTGCCAAGTTGCCGCATGTACCTCGGCCAGGGCAAGAACCATATCCTCACTCCAAGGCTAGCAGAGCCCGCCAGCAGCGTGCTCTCACTAGTCAGTCTTCAGCTCAGGCTAGAGACGAGCGTTGCAACGCCATGTTCAGCGATTGTTTGGAGGCTCTTGACGAGAAAAAGAAGGTTGGCAGGAGAAGTGAGCACCCCAGTGAGGCCCTTGGCCCTGAGGAGCCCCATGTTGTGCCCGCCCCGCCTGCGCTGGATCTCGAAGAGGCCTCCAACTGTTCCGAAGAGGGCCCTTGGGCCCACGAGTTAATTTTTTGTTCTGATGTGGCACTCGGCGAACCTGGCAACAAGCAGGTTGAGCAGAGTGCGTCTTCGGTTTGTATAGGCTCGGTGGCTAGCCCTCACCCCTCGGAGGATGCTGGTGGAAGCGGGTGCTCCTCGGGGTCTCTGCGGAAGCCGAGCGGTTCGGGGGGGCCGGTTGGGAACCGCGGGGATCCCGCCGCGCCCGAAGGTGGGCAAGTTAGCTCCGATATTAATTCGAGGTTGACCCAGCCCCCCGATGACAGTCACAAGGCTGAACCCTCGTACAGCATGCCCTTGGAGGTGTGGGAGGCCGAGCGTGCCTCTGTAGATCTCTGTTTTGTCTCTCCTTCTTCCCTCCCTCCGTGCATCCTGGACTCCGCCGCGTTGCAGGAGAACCAGGCCAGCGTGATCACCGTCTCGGGGATGTACGCGTCTTGGGTCTCGGCGGTAAAGGCACTATTTGTCAGCATTATGGGCATCCGGGTCCCCGTGGGCCCCGCAGAGCCTCCACGCCCGTCTTCCTGGCGCAGGAGGTCATGATCTCCGATGAGGCTCGGGTCACCCCCCTTCGCGACGTGCTTGCGGGTTGGTGGGCCCGTCTCCACGCCGTCTTGAGTGCGCTTGCTCGTCACCGACTTCGTGACAATGGTAAGGATCAGCAGCGACGGTTAGAGCAAGCATGTGCGCACCTTAATGAAGACCGACCTGAGCTAGTTCATAACGGGAGGGCTTTGAGCCGCCGTGGTCTGAATGGGTCAGTGCACTTTCTGCTATTCAGTCTTGCCCCGTCCAGATGCTGCAGGATTTTGCCAAGTTTTCGGATGAGGTTATGAAGCGGGCCCAACGGCGAGCTGTGAGTGAATCCATTCGTGAGTTTCGTGATTGGGCTGTTTCCGAGGCTGGTCTGGGAGGCCTCCGTAGGGCCATGCGTCACGATCCTGTGCCAGCCTTGGAAATCTTCGACGGCGCAGATGTTGTCTTTCACCCGAAGGATATAATAGACTGCAAGGCTAGGAGGTGGCATCGTAAATGGGCTACGCCTATCGCTGACCCCCCCGAGGCTTCAGGCAACGTTCTGGAGGTGGCTCGGGAGGCCGTCTTGAACACTGATCCTCTTCCCGTCCTTGAGGTCCCCGATCTTCGGAAAGCCTTGAAGGCAATGAAATCTAAGGCTGGAATGGGCGTCGACCGTCTCACGCCTTGCGACATGGAGAGGCTCCCCGACCAGGGCCTCGAGGAGCTGGCGTTCTTGCTCAACTCGATTCAGCGCCTCTTGGCGTGGCCAGCGCAGACCATGTTGGTCATAGGTCGGTTGCTCCCCAAGAAGGTGTCAGGGGGCCGCGCCATCGGCCTCATCTCGATGTTGTCGAGGGTGTGGAGTATGAGTCGCGAGCCGTGGGTCCGTTCCTGCTCGTCTCGGTCTGAGCCCCACTTGGACGCCGCGGTCAGGAGTAACTCGTCGCTCGGTGAGGCGTTCAGGCGTATCCTGGACGAAGAGACTGCGGGGGTTCTGGGCATTTCGCACGGGCACTCGTTGGTCGATATCGCCGGGTACTACGATAACATGTTTTGGCTCAAATTGGTCGTTGCAGCTATCCGTCTTTTGAGTTCCCGCCCGTGGTCCTCTTCCTTGAGATATTGCAATGCGCGCGCCCACGTTCTTTGTATCACGTTGATTCATATTCGAAGGCCTCCGAACCGACATGCAGTATCATTCAAGGCCTACGGTCGGGCACCAGATGTGCTCGCATACTTACGTACTTTGTGATGGACAAAGTTTGCACAGCACACGTTCGGTGCTCGCACCGAGTATGGATTGATGATATTTCGCAGTCCACCAAGGGCTCCCAGCAGCAGGTCAAGCGAGACTTAGTCAGCTGTGTGATTGACACGGCGCGTGGTCTTCAGCAGCAGGGCCTGAAGCTGGCAGGTAAATCGGTTATTGTTTGTTCGAAATTCTCAGACGCTAAGAAGATTGCTCGGGCTCTCAGACTTCGTGGAGCGCTGGTCGCAGCGGCTCGGCACACATCATATCTAGGCATCGGCCTCGGAAGAGGGCGACGCCATGCGAGAGGTGA